ATTTTCACTATATCAAATATATATACTTGTCATGTCATTATTACCATCTTTATACAATTGTGATTTATAATTAGAATATAGAATATAAATCTTAATAGATTTCTAATTTCAAATTAGAATATTGATGTCTTAATTAATAAGATTCTATAATATAAATCTTTATAGATTCCTAACTACACCCTTGGTGGCGGCGGTGGTGTGGTGGTGGTGGTGGTGGTTGCGGTTGCGGTGGTATGGTGGTGGTGGTGGCGGCGGCGGTATGGGTGGTGGTGGTGGCGGCGGCGACGGTGGTTGCGGTGGTATGGTGGTGGTGGCGGCGGCGGCGGTGGTAGTGGTGGTGGTGTGATGGTGGTGGTGTGGTGGCGACGGTGGCGGCGACGATGGTTGCAGTGGTATGGTGGTGGTGGTGGTGGTGGTGGTATGGTGTTGATGGTGTTGGTGGTGATAGTGGTTGCGGTGGTATGGTAGTGGTGGTGGTAGTGGTGGTGGTGTGGTTGCGGTGGTATAGTGGTGGTGGCGGCGACAGTAGTGGTAGTGATGGTGGTAGTGAGGTGGTGGTGGTATGGTGTTGATGATGTTGGTGGTGGTGTGATGTTGGTGTAAAAGTTGAAAAATGACTTCCCCCAAAAAAAATGGGAAGTCATTTTCCTCCAAAACAAGTCTATTTTCCAAAGTCAACGGAAAATGATTTTCGTTCACTTGATTTTCCAGGCACATCCAAACAATGAAAACTTGGAAAATAATTTACAGAACTCATTTTCCAGGTTTCCAAACACACCCTTAATCTACCCAAACAACACTATATTAATCCCTGTTCACTGGTATTCAACAAACACAAAACCTAACTTCTTTTGCAACACACACCATTGAAGGGACATTTTACAGGTATGAATGTAAAATCTCTTATCATTACTGCATAATTAATAATATAAATAATATCATACTTCTTCATATGCATTATGATTTATTCTGTGCTTCTCAATTATATTCCTCCAAAATCTATGCATTTTAGTTACTCCTTACTCCCAATTTTTCAATTTATGTTAAGGTTCCCATTATATTATTTCATTACATTCTTTATGAACATATTTTCAATGACAGAAGGATATTAGTCATGACAAATGCACTAAACTTATTTGATATTAACACATAAACTGTGGGATGGAGTTGTAAAGTTCGCGTCATTCCGAGTCTAAACAAACACTCACAAAGAAAAATTAATTTGCTATGCCGAAATTACTCTTTTCATGATAGATAGTTAGCTTTAGTTAGTGGTTTCTTTGTTTTTACTTTAGTTATAATTTAGCTATTTAGGATTTCTTTATCTTTTTATTCAAATATAAGCACAAAGACTATTTCTATTTCTTTATCTTTTATTAAGTTCATATTCATCTCTCTCATTATTATATGAATACTTTAACCAATTAAACAACACTAATTTATAAATACACATTGGGCATTGGTATAATCGCGCAAAGCGCGTGTCGTAACTAGTACTACTATACAACACGCTACTAGCCAGCTGTATAGTATATACACATGCTATATTTATGGGGCCCCCAAAAATTGGGGACTCTTTTCTTCGTGTCTTTGGATGTCTATGTTATCCTTACCTACGTCCCTATAACCGTCACAAAATGTCTTACAGATCTTCTCCTTGTGTCTTTCTTGGCTATCCTGAGTCATTTAGGGGGTAGGGGGTATAGGTCCATGTACTTACAGACTAACAAGATATATGTATGTAAGCATGTTCGATTTGATGAAAGGGTTTTTCCTTTCAGTGCTAAAAGTATTTTGTAGCCACCTTTGGTTCAGAAAAATCAATCGTGGGCAGAATTTGTGCTTGTTCCGGTCTCGCCCGCTGTTGCAGTTCAGCATGCACCGCCCGAAGCGGCCCTGGCTCACACTAACCAGCTGGAACCTGCCCAGGCCGAGCACACTAAGCCTGCTGAAACAGTGGCTGCCACCCGACCCTGAGGCACGCCTAGGGGTGGTAGGGGTGAGCATCGGTCGGTTACGGTCAATAACCGACCAAAAACCGATTAACCGATTGACTTTTTAGAGTTCTCATAACCGACCGTAACCGGCCGATTATTTATACACAACCGACCGAAACCGAAAAGGTCGGTTTTGGTCAGTTATATCGGTTATCGAATAACCGAGAATTGCACAAAGCAATGTAAATTTCAAATAAATAAAATTATATTATTACATCATATATTCAATTCTAAAAGGCAGAACTTACAATCCAAAATCCAAAATCCAAAATCAAAACTCTAAAATTCAAGTTCCAAGCATGTCCAAGATCAAAGAGAAGACGGCTATGAGTGCAGTCACCAAAACAAAATACTAATACCTTGGAGCGAGTCTGTGAGAACTGAGAACTGTGACTTGGGCAAAAGTGCAGAACCGCAAAATGAACTTTGAAGAGGTGAAGACCAAGGAGGCAAGGTCGCAAGGACAAGTCGCCAATGGGCAGAGCTGCCGACTGGCCGAGAGAGCTGGTGCCGAAGGTTGATTGCGAGAAGCCGAGAACTGAGAATCCTTGAAGGTCGATTGTGATTTGCATCGCTGAACAAGATGCCGATGAAGCTTGGAACAGAGAGACTGAATTTAGGGATTTTTGTGGATTGAAATGTTGAATTCGGGATATGTGTGGAAGGGATGTTAGTGTTTTAGTGAAATAGTGTTAGACTTTTAGATTATTATATTGCTAGTGTTGGGCAGATGAGCTATTTGGCTGATATTAAGGCATTGGGCTTTGCTTATGGAGTGGATATCTATTGGGCTAAACTACAAATAACTTATTATATATTATATATTTTTCATTAATGGTATATATACTGTCGGTTATTCGGTCACCGATAATTTTGAACATCAATAACCGATAAAAAACTGAAAAACCGTATAACCGATATTTTTAGAAACTTGATAACCGATGACCGACCGAAAACCGAAATTTTCGGTCGGTTCGGTTATCGGTTATCGGTTTTGTCGATTTTTCGGAAATTTTGCTCACCCCTAAGGGGTGGTCTACACAGCGAACGGTCCGGACGCACACCATGGCTACTCGGAGCCGTTCTGAGACTCCCTTTTTGGCTCTCTCTACTCAGGTTTGCTCTCTCTGCTCAGTTATACACAGGTAGTAAAACATGGTGAGTGGCGCAAGACAATGGATGAAGAGTTTAATGCACTTCTTTAGAATGAGACTTGGTGTCTCGTTCCATCACAATCAGATATGAATGTTATTGGATGCAAATGGATTTTTCGCACCAAAAGGAAAGCTGATGGATCAATTGAATGATACAAAGCAAGGTTAGTAGTCAAAGGATTTAATCAAGTACCTGGACATGATTTTTTTTTTTGACACATTCAGCCCAGTAGTCAAAACCACAACTGTCGTGTTACTTCTCTCACTAGCTATATCCTCTGGTTGGGTTGTTATGCAGCTTAATGTGCACAATGCCTTTTTAAATGGGAAATTATCTGAAACTGTTTATATGAAGCAACCATCTGGATATATTGATAAATAGTTTCTTAATCATGTTTTCTTGTTACAACGCCCTCTATATGGATTAAAACAAGTTCCTAGAGCTTGGTTTAATCACTTCCAGCGGGTTTAAAGCTTCAAAAATAGATGTATCTTTATTTTACTACTCGCAAGATTCAGGCTTCATTTATGTTCTAGTATATATATGTTGATGATATTCTTGTAATGGAAAATGATCAGAATCTTGTTAGTACTTTACTGGCAAAATTGTCATTTGAATTCAAGATTAGGCATCTTGGCGAACCTGGTTTCTTTCTTGGGATTGAAACTGTTAAGTGTGATGATGGAATTTTTCTTTCTCAACAAAGATACATGACAGATATTTTAAAACGTGCTGGCATGATAGACTGTAAATCTTTAGTCACTCCTATATCTGTTTCGAAATTCACTGTCTTTAATGCAGACTTATATGATTATGCTACAAAGTATAGGAGTTTAGCTGGAGCTTTACAGTATCTTACGGTTACTCGTCCATATCTATCCTTTGCGGTCAACCAACTCTGAACACATGCATGCTCCTACTGTCTCTCATTGGGAGCAATTGAAACGTGTATTGAGGTATGTAAAGGGAACTGTTACTTATGGTCTGCGAATAAGGAAGTCAATGTCTAGAGATTTACATGTTTTTTTCTGATTCTAATTGGGCTAGCTGTTCTGAGGATCGTAAGTCAACTAGTGGTTATGTTGTTTTCTTGGTTCCAATCTTATATCATGGGTATGTAACAAACATGTGAACTGTTGCTAGACCATCTACTGAGGCTGAATATAAAACTCTAGCAGATGTCTGTACTGAGGTAATTTGGATTCTCTCTCTGCTACGTGGCTACGTGAAATTAGCGTGACCGGTGTGTCTACTCCCATGTTGTGTGATAATTTTGGTGCTACATACATGTGTGCAAATGGAGTGTTAATTTTATTTCGACTAAGGATCAATTGGTAGATATCTTTACTAAAGCTACCTGGCCCTAAATTTTCTTTTCTTAGAGACAAGCTACACGTCACTATTATACCCTGTGCTTGAGAAAAGTATTAGAATTCTATATATTTAAATTAGATTATGATTCCTTATTCCAATCTCTCTCAATCTCCGTCTTTATATATACTTGTAATTTGTACATTTTTAATCACATTACTTAATATAATTTATTCAGTTCTCAATTATAGGCTAACTTTCCCCTTTATGCAAGTTGGCTCACTTCTTGTCGACTGAGCATACAATCTCCCACCGAGAAATAACCCAAGAATCTAATCTGGTAAAACGCGCGTAAGAGGAGCTGGTTAAAGAGACCGGGGCCCGGCGTAGATCTTATAACCGAGAGTTTACTTTGTGAGTAAACAGAGAGTTTACTTTTATTAAGGCGAATATTGATACCGGGCGCAAAGTTGATAATGTGAGTAAAGAATAAAAAAAAAAAAAAATTATTATCATACAAAACAGAGAGTTTACTTTTATTAAGGCCAATGAATTAATGACAAAATTGCTTAGAGCTACAATAATTATAGCATCAATCAATGAAACAAATTAATTGCTCTAAGAACAATACAGACAGCTAAAGGTTACATTGCTGCATTTTGGAGTCATTCCCAAGGGAGCAAAAGAATCTTTTCGTGTTTGCAGTGCATTACAGCTAATCTCGTGAGGACCGCATAAGCTCAAACCACTGCATTTTTTAAGATGATAAGAAGCAGCATAAACTCAACTGTACTAATCAGAAGAAGAAGAAGAAGAAGAGGACAAACAATTTTGCATTACTAACCTGTCTCAACAAATCGGCTAGTGTCCTAGGAAGGGATTCTATGTTCCTTAAGACCAAGTAGTATGGAAAGGGGAATGATTCCATATACTTGGACAACTTCACACTTCCGCCTTCAAATGTCGCCTCCTGGAATGGAAGAATATTATCAACATTGATTTTCATTAAACACTCGAAAATACCAAATCAAAGATAGATAAACTAAAGCTATAGTTGCACTTATTCAATAACGAGTGAGTAAACAGATACCTGGAGGTCCATGATGGATTCTTCAGGGCTATCCAGCAGCAAAAATGCAACTAAGCGTTTTTTATTCAAGAGGTCTCTGACACGACGCTTCAAACTTTCCTGTAGAAGAAGATAGTAAGAATATGTTTTATGTTCAACCAATAACATGAGAGATATGAATTGGCACGCAATTTCTGCTCACTCACAGAGAACCAGTTAAATTCAAAGTAAGAGATACCTTCTCATGAAATCGACCATCTGCTATTATCAAAACGAGTTGCTGGAGGGGATTATCTCCAGTTGGTAGCCGTGAATTAATGACAGCATCATCAAGCATATCATTCAAGTATTTCAATAGATCAACCATTGGTTCATCTGCTATTGTGTTTTCTTGCTTAAATGTAAAACTTGAGATCATCTGCTCCAGAAAAGAAAATGTCATACAGTTAGTTGAAGAGAGACAAGAAGATGAAATAAATCTACATCAGTTTACAGTATGCGCATCTATTTCTCTACACCAATTGCTTATAAATAGATATACTGACCTTAATACCAGCATCTCCACTAAATTGCTGATCAAAATCATGCAACAACTGAATATTCCCCTTTTTCCCAAAGCTTGCAACAGCCAGTTTTCCCACTTCCAACTGAGACATTGCACGGCAGACAGTAACCAAAGCTTCAATAGCAATGTGCCCACAACGAGATTCGGACATACTCCGGGAATCATCCACAGCAATGACAACTTGGTAATCACGTTTGTTTGGCCGAGTACGACGTAGCCAAATCTTATCTCTCCGGTAATGACTTGCAATATATGGAATTACCTGGTACATACAATACCATGTTAAAAATGATCCCAACCATTAACATAGAGGCAGAATGTTAAAAAACAAACCTTTTTCATATTAATCCTTTTGCCTGTCCTGTAATCTCCCTGGAGCTTGCTAGCCAAAGTAGGCTCCATTATCAAACGTAACTGTTCAGCTAACTCCTGTGATAGCCTTGTTGTGAGGAGTTCATATCTTCTCCAAAGAGCAGCAGCAACATTCAAGTCACCAGTTGCCCCTTCAAGGTTCCAGGCCTTACCCAAGTTTTCATCATTCACAGAGAGATTGCTGACTTGATTTATATCCTCACTTAAATAATTTCTCTTCACAGAAACTAAATTCAATGATGAACTACTGGGACAATCATCATAACCCTTATCCTCTTGAGCAGATGGTTCAATTTGTTTTTCTGTTTCCAACTTCTCCAATTGCATTTCTATATCATTGCCGAAATTCGAAGTAGAACTAACTATAGGTTGGGGTTGAAGTTGGAGGTTATCAAGCTCCATTTTACTAGCATAATCTTTTTTCTCGTCGGATCCAGCATTCTCTTCAACATCATTTCCACTTACATTTCTGTCAACCTGGTCAGTCATCGCAGGCCCTATTGCTTGAGCAGTTCCCTTGTCAAATTCTGCAGTATACCCATATTCCTCTGTATCCATATCTACCAAATCATCGGTACTCTGTATGTTATCCTCAAGATCAACGGAGACCTTTACTCTTTCTTTCCATCCATCAAGTGCATCTCCAACATTACGACAGGGATTTGGCTGATTCTTATTAATTGATGAATTAACAAGGGGAAATGGAGTTTCAGGTCTATTTCCACTTAGCTTATCGCCCATGGATGACCCAGCCACCATGATATCTTGATCACCATTAGAGCCCCCACCAGGAGCAAGGTTATGCTCAAGTCCACCTCCATTAGACCATTCTGCCTCTTCCATGGAATTTTCCAAGTTTTCAGGACCACCGTCATCTCTAGGCTCTGGTAGATCTAGTGCACTTTGACCATTCTGCTCAGTCTGACCTGTAACATGGGAAGCCTCGGGCTGAACTGTGTCTTTCCTTGGCTCCAGTGCTTCCTTGTTCAAGTTACTCTCATGATCGCTGTCCTCTTGAACCCCCCCAGACTCTTCATCCAAACGTTTGTGATCCATCTCTTCCAAAGTTTCATCCATTGGATCAGTTGGTTCCTCATTCTCACTTTTTGTAGAGAGATCTACATTGTTATCATCTTCATCCATGAGGTCGGTACCTTCGGATGGATCCAAATCACCATCATTTTCAGGACCTCGATCTGGCTCGTCAAGCTTCAACCCTGTAGGATCTGTACATGCATCCTGTTCTTCTAAATCCATGTCTTCCATTTCACTGAGGCTTTCTTCATTCCCATTTTCATCAGGTTGTTTTCCAAGTGCCCCAGGATCAGCGCCTTCCTTTTCATCATCAATAGCAGCAGAGTCATCTTTAGCTTGGAGTTCCCGTTCATCTCCTTTATCTTTTACTGCTTGGCCTGGCTCATACTTCTCATCTCCGCCATCATTATTTTCGTCGTCCTCCCTGTCCCAAAGTTTTTCATCAACTTTTTCACTGTGATCACCAGTTTCCCCAATAGCAGATTCTACTTGCTCATTCTCTTCATTGCCATCTCCATCATCAACAGAATCTTCGCTGACGCTGTATGCATCAGCTGCAAAATCTTCTTCCATCTCAATGCCCTTATCTTTTACATTTGACATGTCACCTAAAGAATTCTGTTCATTTGGCTGCAACACAGATAGATACTTTTAGATCAGTTCCGTTGTAGCACAGGCAAATGAAAATGTATGTACGGCAAACAAATGAAAGCAATAAATTTTATCAATTCATACTTCTTTAGAAGGTTCAAGAAGTTGATCTTCATCAGTTATCTGATCACTAACATCATTACATCCAGTGCCATCACCCATACCCGTACCACTTGCATCCTGAGTTTCATCCTGGCTGGACTCATTGATTTGGTCTTCTTTAGTGCCAAATCCCTTGGAAAATAGTAAAACAAAAACCTCTGCGAGAACATGGGTCATCAAACATACCTGGATATGATAATGATGCAGAAACACTAAAGTGATTAGGATACACAATCAAATCAAATGAAAGCCTCCAAGAAAACAAAACAAACATACCATCCTGTGCATGACCAGAAAATGGTGCAGAAGACCTTCCCCAAAAGCCAGGATAGCATTTGACAAGGAATAAAGATGTTTCAGATGTGTTTTGATGAGAGAAGATAAGTGTGGGTTTCTTCTGTCATAAATATACAATATTTTTCCCTGCACAAATCATATATTGATGAGAAAGGTAATAACAGTGTTAAACATCGAAACAAGAGAAATCTAATAAAAAGAAAACGCTAGCAGAACTCACAGCTAGACAGACGGTCTCAAGTAATTTATCACCAATCACGTCCAGCTGCAGTTTTGCTATATTTGACTGCAAGAGTGCTTTCCACATATTAATATTCAGCTTATCAGGGAGATCATTCCCTAGTGAACCCATAGCATGAAGAGCATCCATAATACATTTGCAGGTCTCCATCAGCGACAAACCAAACTTCACTTCAACTTCAGTGATATTTTCTAAATGACAATCGGAATCAACTTCATTTTCTGAAGAACCATAACCAGGACTGAACTGTGAAGCCATGAAGTTGGCCTGAAAATTGCAAAGCTTCTATTTTAGATTTCAATGTTGACAGCATTGCAACAATATATTATAATCACAACCCATCACATAGCAGTGTCGAAAGCAGTAGTACTTTAATATGTACAAGAAACATATTCCAATACCTTGTCAAATATATCACTGAAATGTCCAAGCAGGGTATCTTCAACCGCTGCTCCATCCACATTTTGCCCACGGAAGGTGTGGAGGTCATTCTCAAATGTTTTTATCAAGTCAAAGTTTTGATTTAACATCTTCTCCAAGTGTTCTGTAATGCCACAAGGATGCAATGGGGTTCCTCCTCTGGTTGTGGTTGTAACTCTATCAACTCCAAGAAGGACATCATCCAGCAAATTCTGTTTTTCAGTTACATTAGACAAATGTTAGGGTTTCAACTTACCACAGAAGCTTGCACTGTACCAATGAACAATACCATGAATAATATTAAATCAATATCAAGCTCATGATTAATGTCTACTACTCTTCTTTGTGAGTTAGGCTTCGACAATTACAAAGACAACCCATAACAGTAGCAACCCTCTCTGACAAAGAACGTAGAGAAGAATACAGAAAAAATATATAACAGTACTATTGTAAAGGAGAGAGAGTTTTGATCCCACATATCAATCACACCAATTATCCTTCGGAACAAGAAAAGATTTAGAAAATAAGATAACTGATATGCTAATAGTTTGCAGCTTCGCACCAGTCACAAGTATTCCACCTGTCCCCTAAACGTTTTCCAAATTTCCCTTTTAGTAAGTCAGAAAATATTATTCACTTCCCTAGTTTCCTAAAATACAGACTACAAGTAACTCTACTTTCCTACATTATCCTTCCAACAGAAGTCAAAAAATAAAAATAAAGGCAATTAGTCATTCACTTTTATGGGGCATAAGAATAAGAGCATGTACTTTCCCCCCACTTCTAATAAATTCTATGCCTACAGTAAATAGGACTATTATTTTGGGACAAGGAGTAATTATTCATTTGACACTATATAGATCCATATAGATGATATCCACGTATAAAGAGGCAGATTTGTTCAACAAGATCATAAAAAATAAATTCATACAAATATTACCTTAGATTTTTGAATATCTGGAAAGTATTTTCCAATGAAAAGAAGAATTTTCATTGCTGAATGTTTGAGACTTGTGCAAGGGCTCAAATGGTTATCCACTACTGTCTGTAAAAATAGACGCTCCTCATGCAACAGAACACATAAGCTATCAAAGAGTTGCTGCATGTTTAAAAGGGTGTATTAGGAATTTATAATAAAAGCAATAGGCAACAGAATTTATATCTACAACTATAAGCCCACCTTTTGTTGCCACAAGCAAGTAAACGATTTGTACTGATTTTGGGCCAAACGAAGATCAGTATTCTCAGTTGAAGCAAAAGGGAAGGAGCATGAGAACATGTTAACTAAAGGTAAACGGCATTCCTTGAAATTTCTAAGTTGCCTTGCAAAATCATAGACATCTCTACGCTGCTCTTGTTGAATAGTCAAAAGATGGTCAATAAACGATCCTGACCTCTCAACCTGCATTGTAACAATAGAAGAGACCCCATTAACCTGTAGTTACTATACAAGAAAAGAAAAGAAATTTTTGAAGAAAATATGTGAATGCAGGTTCAAGTCGATTTCTGGTTCCGACTGTACCAAATGATTGAAAACAGCAAACTCTCTAGTTCCCCAAAAGACCACTTTAACTACAACAAAATTGTGGACTGCTTGTTCTACTATAAGTGAATCATACAAAAAGAGCTCAATCAACAACCAACTACCTGTTCCAGAGTGAAATCCTTATGGAAGTTTAAGCTGATACTCTGCAAAAGTTTCATTGATTTGATGCTCTTGAAGTAGTACTGATTAGCTGATTTCCATTCAGAGTTCAAATCTTCAGAAGAAGATCCCTGAAGCTCTCCCAGAATATGATTTTCAACATTCCCAGAGGAAAGAGCAGTTTTTGTCAAGAGCAGGTGCAGCACTTCATAGGATGGCTGAAGAAGCCAACAAATTGTTGCATTGGCTTCCCCTTGGCCCTATGGCACATGAACACAGCAAAAGAAAAGCCAAAACATCAACACACACAGGATCACAGAACATAGGTTTTAGGAATCAGCACTCACTAGAGCAAGGCATAGATATTACTACTAGTATGTATACTATACCGTTTTGAATGTTGATCTGTGCTTAAATAAACCACACGTTTCCAAGACCTTTAGTAAATCTGAGAAAACTCTTCGTCTTCCAAACTTCTTTCCATCATCCTTCCATATCTCAGCACAACCAATTACAGTTCTACAGATTTCATCAATAGTATGCCACAGTTGATTCCAATCACCAAAGCATGATATCTGTGAACACTGAGATGGTAGACCATCCTTGAGGATTCTTCCAACTTCTGCATCATTAAAGCATGAAATTTAATTTCAGATAACCAAAATAGGAAGTGGGCAATTGGATCTTTTATCCTATTGCTGTGTGTGTCAAAACTATATTAGAATTACCTTCCAAATTTCTCTTAAGGGAAATATCAGAGAAATCAATTTCAGTTGTTTTGCTGAAGTGAAAATCATGAGCAACAGACTCAACTTCCTTCCACCAAACAGCCACGTAAGGAGAGCTGAAGACGTAAGAAAGTCAGTAAATACAGAATAAATTGACCCAAACATATCATAAGCTGAAATGAAGCTACCTGTCCTTTATGAACTGAATCTGCTGACATAGTGCATTAAGAATGTTCCTACTCTTATCATAGAAGCCAGCTGAGAATTGTGTGCCTTCAACGGTTTGGCAATTTATTGAGCTTCCTGTCACTTCTTGGTTGATGAAAAACATAACAGGTTGTTGAAATAAATCCTGCATGAGCACATCAGCAAATTTAAAATACTGGAACCATATTGCAAAGAGTGAAAATCTGCACCATACTGGAATGCTTGGTAGATGAAAATGTATGGTGGAAAAATGAAGCAAATCAATTATGTGGTATGGTATCTGACAATGAAATGAAATAATTTCCAGTAATAAGCTGAGATTGAAAGGGGAGGAAAAAAAAAAAAAAAAAAAAAAAAAAAGAAGCACTGTAATCAGATAGAAGTAGATAAGCTCAATATTCTCTATCTATATAAGGTGATTAAGATCAAGGAAACAAACCAAAAAAACTAGGATTCTAAATCGAGCATGCAGATGAAGGTAACCAAATATGGGGAAAACAAAAAACAACTGAATGTTGTGAAATAAGTTCTGATACTGGAAAGTCTAATCTTCTATTGAAGGTGATCTATCAAGACAATAGAGAAAAAACATTGTAAGCTTTAAATGGATTTTAACCAACGCAATATTCTTGAACGGATAACGAGACTCACAGTAAATTTCTGTATGAGTTTTTTGAGTTTCTGCCGAGTTCTCCTGAAGCTCTCTATTGCTGTATAACCCTCAACACGTTCCCATCGGCACAGCTTCACAAGATCTTTTAGTTCCTTTTCAACATTCTTTCTAGATATATCCATGTGGTACAAAATCCTTGGTGGACAAATAAGAAGGCAGAAACAAAGACAGGAAAAGACCCGGAACATCAGTTTTAACATTAGCAATCTAGAAAACACCAGGCAGTTCAGTGTGGAACATTATGGATAAGAGGGAACTCACTTTGGCAAGAATTGCACATAATATCCAAAACTATTGTAGAGAACTTTCACAATCTTCTCATGACTGAAAAAGTCCAAAATACAATGGAATACACATCTTTTAAAAAAAGATAATCTGAGAAAAGTGCAATGGTACTATGACTGTTTAAGATATGCAAAATAATCTAGTTTTTCACCATACTATTCCCAAGTTGCATTACCTTGATTGAGAATCTCTGCTTATACAATTACTGAAGTGTCCATGAAAAGCAACAAGCAGTTGAAGACGCCTTTTAAACTCACCAATGCAGGACATTTGAAGAAACTCATCCAAGCTGGATGAAGGTTTAGTGGAAATACAAAAATGTAGTTTAGAAAATTAATTGATTTGCCAAGCAACAATTTAATTAATAGGTGTAATAGGTAAAATGACACAAAGAATGTGCATGCCTTTTTATCATGTCTGGAGTATATTCATTACTTGGCTTAAGTACTGAATACAATGGAAACCATAACTGCATTCAAAGAAAACAATAGACCACTAGTCTAATTATTTTTCACAAAATAGAGTAAATAACAATAAAGTAGAGATTTTATCAACAGTATGGCAGCAATAAGATATTAAAAAAGCAGTGACTGCAAATGCTACCTTTGCAGCATTAATCTCAAATTGAGATTGAACTTCATCAAGCAAAGCAGGCCAAGATTCAAACTCCAGCTTATGCCATGAGGATACTAATGCGAAAATAGGTCTCATTTGATCTATGAGACGACCAATAAAAGGGAGCGCTAGTTAGAAACTTAGTAGTGCATTATGAAGATACAATGAACCGGGAAATGATGATTATTTACCAGACAATGGAAACTTGGCAACTGTCTGACACAACATGTGGACTCTATAGATCAAGAAATGCAAGCCAGACAGGGCCTTGAAAAGGAAAGAGAATTAAACATTAAAAACAGTGATTTTGAATATAGAATTATGTGGTACGTAAGTCTACGTTGAAAATATTTAAAATTCATAATAAATTATTAGAAGACAATGTACCTTGGCCAGAGGAGCACTTAGAGGAATAGCCAAGATCATGTCAATCACTTCAACTATCTTCTGTAGGGCAGGATGGTCATCCCATTCATTTAAAAGCATAAGAATTTTCTCTTTAAGAGAAGTTACAGGATCCACCATAGTAGCCATAATGGGGGCATTCGAATCCTAAAGTGGGAGATGAAGTACAGAGAAATTAGAAGCCACATCCTAACTGATACATAAAAAATTAAATATACATAACCTGAATTAAACAAAAAATAAAGTAAGCAACTTAACAACCTTATAAAAGTTGTACGCATTTGCTGATTTACGAGGAGAAATGACCATATGTTCATGCTCCAAACATAGGCGAAGTAAGTGCTCTGGCACAACCTTAGCATCTAACCATGAGCACAAAAAACCATCCAAATCTGCAGAAAGCAAAAATAGTAAAATATTATTCAATAATAACTTAAAGAATATATAAAGTCCAATAGCTCTGATACCAATCACCTTTTGTCATTCTTACACCCAGTGAATATGACTGGATGAAAGTAGAAAATCGATCCGCATCAAATACATGAATATTTCCAGGCTGCAATAGACAGGACAATCAAGTCATAATCATTGGTATACAAAAAAATTATAAATACAAAGAAAATACTATATATTTTTCCTGGAGTGCAATATAAACTGCAGCATAAAAGCTTGAAAATCACATTAGAGTGCTGCCACTGCTCCCGACACAAGACTTACATTTTCAACAAGATCAGTTGAACCAAATATTTGATTGTGAGTGTGGATCATGTCATTTAAAATGGATTCTTCAACAGAGTACCAATCATCCTCTGGAGTTTCACATTCCGTGTTAGCTTTTGCCTATAATGAAAGCAAGCAAATTAGATATTTCAAAAAAATGGTTAGGAAGAACAAGGGACAGAAACAAGCCTCTCAAAAGACCCATTACACTGTCAGAGAGCTCATCCCCAGAGAACATTTCCTTCCAATCTGAAAAATTATCATTGGAAACAGCACTTTCTAAATTGGATATATCACTATCGATGATATTTTCAATCTTCAGAGCACATGGTCGGAACGTAACTAGTTGATCATTCTCTTCTTTCATTCTCAGATGAATCTTCATGTGCATCCAACGCCTTGAAAAATTATCAAATATCTTCTCCAAAAGCTGGAAGGTAATAAACAGGCATTTCATATCATGAAAAAAAAAAATCATCATAACAATAACTCACCAAGGATTATACTCACTGTAAATGATGAATTATCCATAAAGCGCGCATCAGCAGCAGAATGCATTACTCGAACTAGAATATTGTGATAAAGAGAAGCAGAGACCTGTTTAGAACATAAAATCCTTTTAATACCTACTTACATGAATGACAGCAGGAATAATTAATAAGATGAATAAATGTTACTTCTCAATGAATCTATGTAACCATTCATGCTCTGCAAGAAATGAAATTAAACTGTAGAATAACAAACCATTCCATCAGTAATGCCATCGTTTTTGGAAGTAACAACATTCTCAAGCAAATGCAAGTCCATAGAGTTGACATTTGTAGGCAGCTCAATATCATTCCAAGAAAACTTGTACAACGTACTGTCACCCTTGACAGAAGCAAATTTTGGTGCACACCCCCCAGGAAATCTCATGAAAGAATATATCGCCCCCTTCCATAGAGCACAAAGAGTCAAAAAACAGCAGACATTAAACCGAATAAATGTAAAAAAAAAAAAAAAAAAAAGTATTAGTCTTCAAGTTACCAGAACTGAATCCATATCTTGTTTCCCCAATTCCTCCAATAACTTTCTACCTAAAACATTTGAAAAGACCAGAGACGAGCCTAATTTCATTTCATATATTGATATCTGAATTGGTTGAACTATATCAGTGTAATCAGCATATTCCGTTGACAGTCGCTCAATAAAACATGAAGAGGTCTCCTGCAACATAAAATTGACGATATTATTTTAATGCAAAGAGACAATAAAAACATCACAACTATCAGCATACCAAGAGAGAATAAAAACAGTTCAGCAAGCAATTATCTTAATCAACATGTTACCTGCCAATTTCGGAGTTGCCCAGATCCCACCTCTGAATGCTCATTTTTTGCAGCTGTAATCAACCACTGTGAGAATGTGAGAATGTAATCACAGTCGTCTTTCAATTTCTTGAAATTCGCAGGATTACGCCGAAATACAATCTGTGGCAGATGAGGTACATAGTTAGATATAGATACAATGTGTGCATTTAATCCAATCAGCAGCAAATAATCAAAAGACTCGATAATGCCAAATGAAAATATATAGATTTCTTCTAGCAAAGCAAAGCATTTCTGATTTTCTGCCCAAACAACCTTATCACTACATGACCATCATATCTGACGAGATAAAATCAACTATTACACAAATGCACATAGATTTAGATACACTGTGCATTTAATCCAACAGCAGGAAATAACCAAAAGAATCGATAATGCTAAATGAAAATATATAGATTACTTCTTGTAAAGCTAAGCACTTCTGATTTTCTGCCCAAAAAACATTATCACTAAATGACCACCATATCTGACCAGATAAAACCAGCTATTACAAAAAGGGCTGTTATAAAAATTATTTGGATCTTCCAAAAACACTTCAGAAGATCCCAAAAATAATAATAATAATAATAATAATAATAATAATAATAATAATAATAATAAAAATATCTTACCTGAGTTATCAGAATTCATGTGTGCTTATATAAAATAAAAAAAAAAAAACATATCACTAGTAATTGCTAAGTCTAGAGATGACATTGGTAATAAATGCAAAGCATGTTAACAATCAAGTGAATCAACAACATTAAAAACAGATGGATAATAAAACTCTCCTTACATGTTTTTGCAGTTTCTTCAGCTTGGTATTGAGTTCTTCTAACACCTTGGTATGTCTGTCATCTTCTCTTAACTGAAAGGACCCTGATAAATAAGTACACTCTCTTCTTACCTGTAAGATCATGAATAGAATTTTCACATCAAGCTTGGGCATGAGAGCTCGTCACAATTTTAGACTAAGTATTGCTCACAAAACTTTCCACTTTGGAATGTCCCAATAAGATTGATATCTAGTAAACATTTGTTTGTCGCAATAACTTGAGCCAAACAAACACTAAATGATCCAGTTTTAGTGAACTTAATTAATTAAATATTTTTTGTTCAATCATCTCAAAGGGTAATTTATGCATTTATGCATATAACGTAATACTCATAAAATTTTAAAATTTACAAGTTTCTCCCCATGGAGTCAAATGGCAAAACCCGAGGCTAAAAAGTAGTAATTCAAGTTGAAGTGGTTTAAAAAACTAAACATAAAAAATACCTCATTCTCAAGCTGGAGACAAGCAATTTTTTCTGTCAGCTGTGAGTGCTTTACAGAGTATTTTACAGTGGGATCCAAATATGTGTAGCTAATCAAAAGATGGTAGCGTAAGCCACCAATCAATAACCACGCAGATCCTAGATTTCCCATAAAATCTACAATATAGAGAGCAAATAAAAGAAAGAACATTAGTTCTAATGAAATGAAGCACCAGCCATGATAAAAAGAACGTATTATCAATTGAAGATTTTAAATTAAGCCTGACCAAAAAAAAAATGTATTTACCAGTTGATGAACAGGGGAGATAAAGGAAACGCAGCAATGGCTTAATTAAGGGACTGATCAATTTTTTAAAATGTTCATGTTTCGAGGACTTAAGGAGGGAAATCATGACCGTCACATCATTTTCCTGAAACATAGAAGAAGCATGTTGGAGTTATAAGTGGATAATTGCTAAGGATATTGTGGTTATAAATCAACAGTTTGATAAATAAGTTTATGTTTTTCACTAGAATAACAATAGTCAAAATCACAATATTGGAGCATACATCCTTAACATAGAATTCTATAAGAATGGATACTGACATACCGTAATCATCTTCCATGAATTACAAGGAAAGAGAGACTTGATTTCACTGTACTTGTCATCTTCAAATGAACTTTGGTGAGCACTTACAATCTAGAATCACAGGGAACAGGAATTAAGATGTCATTATAATAGTTACAAAGAGAGAAAGATGGTATTCAGTCCAACTGAAGGGAGAAAAACCTGCTGGAAAAGGAACCGAGCAGTAGATAAAAGGAATTCAGTTATGCAAACATCCGTAGAACCGTGCCAGAGGTGGTGTGAAGAAGCTCTAAGCTTTAGACTGTGCATAGAGTAGTCTCTAACAGCAAATGTACCCTGCCTGCTCTTGAAGAAGAGAATTATATACGGAAGTTTGAACAGTAAAGGTAGCAAAAGAAAAATATTTACTAATGACATATACCAAGCCAGAGAATGTAGAATCAGAACAAGCACCTTAACAATTAATTCCAAGATACAGTGGCATCAGGGGAGAAACAATGTGCTTTAAATGTAAACTAAAATATAATCCAGATAACAGAATTCCCACACTACATAATGAAATCTGAAGCAAGCCATAATCACAATTCACATGATCATATGAAATTTTGGCCATGAACTCTCTTCTACAACATGCCACTTAACTACAGCATTCATAAAATAGATCAAGTAAAGCTAGTCTCAGCTATAAAGAAAGAATAAAACCCCGAAATCAAAGGGTGCACAGGAGAACATACAAAGCTACCAATTGAATCATGCTCATCAACAAATTTCTATGCTTGGATGCAAGATGAAGTAGTTATTAGATATACATATGGTTTAATTGAAAATACACCCTCAATCATGTCAGTTTTGAAAAAGTTTTGGTGGAAGAAAATAAGAAGTGTCAAGCAGAGAACTGTTCCAACAGATGTAGTAGGCAATTATCTAGAAATAAAGAATGACAGAACTCATCATCACCCATACAAATGCAAATCATAGAAATAGTAACTTACAGAATTTGTTCAACAGCTGCCATTTTTACTGGCTTAAACAGCCTATCAGGTAGAGGTAGAAGATCATCTTTAAATCCCTCCAATGGAATATTCTGATGAAAAGGTCAAGCTAGAGTAAGATATAAGCAATAAAATGATACCAAGCTAGCACAGTAGAATTCAATATTTACCTCAGTAGCAACATGGAAGGGATTCCACAAAGCAGAATGCCATGCAAACCATATGTCAAGAATGAAACTAGAGATCTTCTCACTTACTGCAGTGGAACAGAACAATTTTAGGATTATTAAATAAAAAGTAAAGCTGAGAGTGGCTAATTTACAAAGATAGCAACCTCCACACACTGATCCCCAAGCATCTAATGTCCACAAAATCTTTTGATGACCCAAAAAGTCTGTTGGAGGCCTGGGAGAAAAGTTCAATGAAAAGTTCAAAGTAGACTCAATGCGGCCAGACAATGCAGTTAATTCCTGTCAAGATTCAAAAGAAACATCACATCAAAAGGATGTTCAGGTAATATTTTCCATATAATTGACTATCTTATCTCTCAAGTAAACAAAAGCAGCTTGGCAACTACAGATTCTAACTCCAAATGAAAAGAAGAATCTTACATGAAGCTGATCAAGCTTGGAAAGACGCTGAAGTAGTCTTGTATCAAGAATGAAACTAATATCATCAGCTAAAGGCAGTGTCTCAAGCCAGCAAGCAATCCCAGACTTGAGAGACAACAAATTAGGGGTGAAGACACAGCACGCAGATAAATTGGATAGCCGCAGTTCTTCTCGAAGAGACGAAGGATTCTCTTCTAACTTTTTCTTTTCAAAATCTATCCTTCTAGAAAGCATCTGTACAAACATAATAATGTATCAGTAGAGTATCAAACACTACCATCTAAATTAAAAGGAAAATTTAGTATTAGACATACCTGGCACATATCTCCCAACTGATTAACAACATTGAGATGATCTCCATCAGATTTTTCCATTACATAAGATGACATGCACACACCTGTAAGAATATCATCAGTATAAAGATTTGGACTTAGTTGTAAAAAGTAACAGTGTAATTGGTACAGGTTGGTTACAAATCAGAAGATAACCCCATCCGACTTCCCAAAATACAAACAGAGCATTAAATGCTACCCTAATAATCAAGCACACTCAGGTAAAACATACAGCAATGTAGCTGCAGCACCAACGTTTTATTTAAAAAAAAAAAAAAAATAATAATAATAATAATAATAATAATAATAATAATAATAACAACACCGTTGCTACTCCTGGTGGAGTGACAAAGTCTGGAGCCACTTGAAAAAGAATTGGGTTTTTCTATGGTGGCTGCCCCTCTCTATGTTTTATTGATTTCTTACCATTTTTCTGCACTTCCAACAGCCAAGTATACTTCAATAATAAAATGTGAAGTGAATTTTATGAATTCATTAAGGATAATATATGAAAACTACTGGAAGCATTTTCTCTCGGATATGAAATCCAAGCTACGGTAACATTTTTCAAGTGTGAGATTCCAGCCTCAGAAGCATTTATTCCGCTATTGGTGAGCCTCTGATTTTCTTTCTTTATTACTTTTCTATTTTTCTTAAAATTAAAAACACATACATTTTAGGTGATGCTGGGCTTATGTTTTTTTTTTCTCTTATTAATATTTTCTTTTGCTCGTCAAATTAGAAAACATATATTTTCCATTGATGGTAAACTCCAATCTCTTGAAGAATTTTTCTGGTGACTGGATTTTTGTTTCCCTTTTTGTTCCATTAAAATTACAAAATAATTAATTTTTTTTAACTTAAGGGACTGTTTTGCCAACAACCAGTCAAGAGTGAAAACTACATATGTTCACCTCTACACTGAGGGACTGGTTTAGTTATTGCACAATAACTAAGGAAAACATGCCCAAATAATCCAGACTTCCAACTGGATTGAATGTTTTTTTTCATCATTATTTAAGCAAAAGAAAATTAATATTCTTGCAATTTTTACAAATATATAGATATAATGGAGAGTATACAAATCTCTTTTTTTAAGGGAAAAGGGGATGGATTAGACAATGAAAACTTAACCTTCCATAGCAAGGAATCGAAGTTCAGGATTAGAAGATAATGCAGCAGCTTCAATTGACAAATTGCTCCCTCCTAAATAAATAATTTTATTAGAGAAATAACAAAAAGAAAGGGCCACAAAAATTTATATAAAGCTCACAAAAGAATACATACCCAACTCAGAACCCTTTCTCCTTTGTGGCAAAACTAGTTCTTCGCATTTCTTTAGCAGTTGACATCGATTTTCGTACAATTCAGCAGTAGATGGGAGAAACGGATGCCCACCATGATCCCAAAGCAAAGGCTTTTGCAAATGGGCAGACCAACCCAGGTCTTTATCAATTGTTAGCATCTTGCTCTACAAAAGGTTAAGGAGTTGAAGAAAATGGTGAAAATAATAAATTAAAAGAATATCAACGAGTGAGCATTAAAAAAAAAAAATTATCGAACAAAAATACCTTCAGATTTTCTACTTCATTTGGGAAAATTTCCTCCAGCTTTGTGACAACCTTCGTTAAAGACCGCCAAGAAATAAGCATGCCAGTATCAGGAAAATCAACCTGAGATGAAACAACACTGTTCCAAAACAGACAATGATGTTCAATAAGGTCACTGTACAAAGACAAAAACATCTCAGGAGGCTTCAAGAAGATCACTTCAGAGTTGGTAGGTTTCATAAACATCTCAGGAACTCTGTCCTCAAACTGCTGCAAAGATCTCAAAACAGGTTCAAGGATTTTGGTAATAGGAGTGGATGAGTAGCCTTTCTCATAGCTCCACTGTTGATTGCTTAGTCTAAGGAGGCGCACAGTACTAATAGCACTTCTGAGCTGTTCACAACAAGAATTTAACACACGGCCTGGCCCAGATACATCAACAAGTTCTTCTGAGAGCAGAGGTGTGGCATTCAAGTTTTGAGACATGATCTTATGGTGGAGGTGATTCCATATAGGGTGTTCTAGTTCATTTCGCAACAAGTTAACAAATTGATTAAAGAAATCACCACGTTCCTGTAATACAGAACCAAGTTGGCTGAAATATTTAAGATAAAGATTGAAATCACTTTTAGTTGCTGCCTGCTCAAATACCCAGCTTGCAGCAAATCGTTGCATTTTCACAACTAGTCCTTGGTCGAAACCTTTTTTCCCACAATCATGTGCATCTAGATGCTCTGAAGCCCCAGGAAACATCACCTTATGTAAGCTCTTCAGATCAAAAATTTGGTATCCATCAGAACGACAAGCACGTAGAGTTTGTTGCAGACTCGAATTGCAGGCAGTTTGGGACCCCAGAAACTCCAGGTACATACAATTTTGTTTCACACACGACTCCTCTGAGTAATAAATAAGATCTCTCAACTTCAAGGGAGTTGGCCATCCACCAGGCCAGCATAACATCCAATCTTCCAATGAGTGAAATTTTTTAAGTTCTGCCACAGATAAATAAGATTGTCTAGCATTATCCACTATGTCTCTTCCTTCACCCTCACCTAAAGATGAAAGATAAATATGCTCCCAACTAATTTGGAGGCTCCAATACAACTTATTGCCCTGTGTAAGTAGCTCTTGAAACAATTGTACCCATCGCGAGAGTTCAAGAAGTGTAATATTCATGTTATACTTTGCACCTTCATTCTTGGCATAAATATGTGCGCGGGCCATCATATCAACCAACTTACCCACAGGGATACCAGAAAGAACGAGAAATCTCATTGCATCTTTGTGCTCAGTCACATCAAGCAACTCTTTGGACTCTATATCAAACAACCAGTTAGGCTCCATCATATAAACTTCAACACCTCTATTTCGCATTGCTCGTGATACCTCACCATATGCAGGGTTAACAGTGAGAAACATACGAAACCGAGGATGGGGATGAAGAATGACAGGCTTTCCATCGACAGTTCCACATTCATTAATTGTTATACATCCAGACTGCTCAACCAAAGAGTTAATCCTATCAAGAACCTGTAACATCGAGAAGTAAGGAATTACAATTTGCAAATGCCTTGGGCAGAAATAAATAACTCAGGATTATTGTTAAGTATAATAACAAGAAAACAAAATCTCACATACTGTTGGATTGCAGAGATTTGCATTCTGTAAAACTATCCACTCTCCATTTTCTATTGCTTTTATAAGAATTCCAGGTACCCACTCAAACTTTGCTGCATATTGCCTTCTTAAGTGGTCATTGCATTTTCTTACTGCAGTGAGGGTGGCATCCAGATCTTTGACTGACCAAGACAAACGCAATGAACATGTCACAATATCTGACTTTAGATGTTCAATAATGTTAACCAACAATGGAACAGACTCAATGTATTTTGTTGAAGGCACACGATCAATGCTTGTTACAAAAGCAAGCCACAAAACAATAAGATCATCTCTTCGCATGGAAACCTCCTCGGGCAACGACGCTGGCTGCAGGCGGCAATACTCATTCACATAATCCTCGACTTGAGAAATGGCAAGACGATATTTCCGGATGGCGTTATATTGTTCAAAGCTTCCAAGCAGCTCAGATATATCAGTAGCAGATGAAAGATTTAATTCATTTAGTAAATTTCCTGTTAACTGTGCAAGAATCCTTATTAAGGAAGTTTTACCAGATGACTGGGGGCCAACCAATATGCATAGCCACTGATGCTTTACACAATGCGCCACAGCTTCCAGGCTATTGCGCAAACAAGGTAAGACTTTAAGCTCATGATATGATGACTTATGGTGAACTCTCTGGAGGGAGACATTACCAACAGTGCACCACTGTGGATTGAGTTGTACCCTTGGATATGGGTTTATATAGGGCTTCATTTGAAATACTGCTTCATAGAGCTTCATAACTTCTTGCCGGTCAGATGATGTCCGCATTCTTTGCAAATAAACCGTATTCAAAAAACAATCAAAACTTGTTTTCCCGTATTCACCTGAAAGAAAAATGTTTCCTATTTAAGAAGGTTTGCAAATTATCAAGTATACAATACAGGAGACCAAAAAATCATTTTTTTTTTTAAAACAAACAAACAAAAAACAACACAAAACAAACCCTTTATTATTTCACAGGAACGAATCACATCTCGCAGGTTGAACTCCCAGGGGGAACCTTCTTGACCAAATTTGTGAAAAACCATTGTCTCTTCATGCAACCTTTTATTAAATAAAACCAGATTTGAAAGTATAGATCTTTGAATTGAAGGATAGAGTGAACTGCAGATGGCAAGATAGTCATCTTGAACTAGTTCATCCACATAAACCTGAAGCCCATCATGAAAGGAACTCTTAATGATAATTGACAACAAAGTAATGTCTATGAATTGATCTCACTAGCATTATATCAAATATGAACTAAGAATCAGTGGATTCATACCTTTGTGAACCGGTTCAGGAAGGACTTAGGTAGATTTTTCCGTCCTCCACCCTGAGACGAAGGGTTTTGACAAGCAAAGACTCTAAAGGAGGTTGGGCACTTAAAGGTTAGACCTAATTCTGGGATGAAAACCTCAGCACGATGATCCAAGATAGCATTCAGTCCCTATATTTTATGAACTCGTAACTAGTTAGATCATGCCCAGAATAATTTCTTAAATGTACACAAATAAAAAAAATAAAAATTAAGGATGAAAACTAAAAGAGGCAAACAACCTCCAAGACAGATTGTGGGGCAAGATTGAGTTCATCCAGCAGAACCCATGATCCTTTCTTAAGTGCCTGAAATAAACACAGTACCAGTAAATTTGAATCTGGACCACAAAAGACAAATACAAGCTGCCAAGCAAGGGGAAAGAAACTCATTTCATTCATTTATATACCTGTAAAAGGATTCCATCAGACCATGCAAATTGCATTCCTTCATCACTTTCAACAGGCAAATCCGACCCCAATAAATCCATTATGTCAGTCTGCACCAAATAAACCAAGTGAAACACAGTAATCCACAATGGCAAGAAACATTGAAGAGAAGATTAAGAGATTCTTGACCTGCTCAGACAAGTTAATGCGTACGACAGTGTGGCCAGAAAACTTGCCAAGAGCAACAACTAGACTGGTTTTCCCTACACCTGGGCTACCTTCTAGCAAAACTAGAGCCAAAAAAAGTCACAAGTTAGAGAAACTAATTCACAGACAAATATTTTTCTTATTCTACGATGATTTTTTTTCCATTTTATAAGGCCTTTATTCCAAGTAACACAATACCACAACCATATTAAATTTTCATCTGAACTCTGAGAAGCATACCAGGTTTTGAAAGTTGCATAGCACGTAGCACCCGCAATGCATTTCTACGAGTTGTTGGTGCAAGAAAGTCAAACTTTTCAGCAGGAAAATTATCTTTACCTGAGAGGGTAGGAATACAGGGAAAGAAAGAATTAGCAAGTTACTGACATCATCTGAATATTAAATCACATGGTGAAACTGGAAGAAGCAATGGGTACAATTTCCTAAAATAACATTTGATAATAGGAAAACTAACTAAAAACAGCAATTACATCCATTTGCAAATCTAAAAGATCTAGTCCTTCAAGAAACAAACCACATCTCCAAACACTTGGCCCTCAACAATCCCCCTAAAGCCCTGAAATCTAATCTCAAGAATGTCTACAATAGAACAAAGAGAACAAAAATTTTCACAAATCAATCAATCAGCATTCTTTAATATTCTTCTGCAATTGTGCAATGCAGAAGAGGTGATCACAAGTCATATTACTCCCTCATACACAATGCATACATCTGCAAAAAGAACCTTATTTGGTCTGAATTGTAATTAATTGTCTACTGAGATGGACATATAGTGACATGTAATCAATATAGGTCATCCACATAATTATCTTCATAAAGCCTCACTTAGCTGTGTAACTAAAAGTTCAATTCGTAGACCCTTTTGAAAACAAACTCTGTCTACATGATCAAATATATGCCAATCCATCTTTCACATCTTTTCAGCTATAACCCAGTTCAGATCCTTGGATAACAAATTGTCTGAAAGTTTGAACTAACACCAGAATACTGTCTATGCAAAATTGAAGAGTAGAAACCTGTAGTGATCTTATCGTGTTTTAAAATTATACTAATAGGTTAAAACATTGGTGAAATTACGAGAAACCTTAAATGCGAAAAGTACATTATCTCTACAAAACAATGGGTACTATAACAAAACAAGCAATGCAGACTAACTTAATCACCACCTCAACCAAAGATAAGACTGGAATGTGAAACAAGAAAAATAATGATCCATATGAGAAAATGCATTCCTCTGACCAATTAGGCAACAATAACACCAACCAAATTAAAAGAAACCATACCTCTCTCAATATAGAATGGATGAATACCAAAGAGAGTATCACATTTCTTGTTATCAGTGCATACAACAGCATCTGCAACTGAGTCAGACCAACCATAATTCTCCAGTGTGGCAAGACTTGAGCAATCAAAATTTGAATTGATTTCCTATAGCAAGATATAAGAAACATGCTGTGATAAAAGTGTATGCAGTAACTGTGTGTTTGTATATATTGATATATTGCTCTGTACAGGAGATGAAAGCCTATATATACAAGCTAAGGGAAAGCAAAGGCCACGAATTTCAAAATTCAAATACTAAGGTTGAGAGTAATTCTCTCAACCATAACCCAACTCTTCTAACACATGCCTTGTTAATATAGTACTTGGAAAAAGCATGTGCTGATTCATAAAACAGTATGCAGCATAGATCACTAAATTACATTGAGATGAAACAAAATATAACTCTATTTTAGAAGCAACAAACCCAGCATATTGCCACCCTAATTTCATTGTTCTCTTCTTTCTTTAAACTATCTCCTCTTTCTAAGCATGGCCAAATTTATGCACCCTAGTTCTTTTAATCAAATGGCAAGACAAAAGGTAGTAGCTAGCCTTCTCTTTAATTGATAATTCTAATTGAGAATTCCGTTTTAAGAAAAATGCGCATAGAATAATGAAAGCTTATCCGTATATTCTGAAAAATAAGAGCAGATATCAAGTAAAAGCTACACATGCTTCTCGATTCTATAAAAAGCATGGTAGTTTTGGATGTTTCTTCTTTTGGGTAAAATATGTCTGCAATACATATCAACTTAATGCATTTATGATTTAACTAAAAGAATATGGTACAACTATACTGCAAAAGATGGAAATATTGCAATGGCTTCAAATTCTCAAGTGATTTTGGTAGTCAAAACTCCAAAGTATGCACAATGTATAGATGGAAAAGAACAACACCTTCAGCAGCCCTAGAAGAAATAAGAAACATTTCTTCCTCAACCCAGCAGCCTCATACTTGGAGATATTAGTACCTGAAGAGCAAAAGTAATCAAAGATTATTCAAAAGAATAGAAGCATTCCGTATAACAGGAAGTAATGGAAAAAAAAGACAAAAAGATGCTTCGTGTTTCTGTTTCTGATAGATGCTTTCTACCCTTTTAATAATCAGTGTCATTAGTTAAAAGTATTTATGGCATGGTAGAACACAAAATTAAGTACATTTATGTTGCATACAGCAATAGTTTGCCCTAGCGCAGAATTATGATAAGCTAAACAGCGCACCACTTCAACTAGACACATTTGTTGGTACTAATTGGATGATATAGCAAAATTATATCAGAGAGTTTGCACCAGCTTGTAGAAGCGATGACAACAGCAACTAACAATAATTTCTAACAAAACCAATTAAAAATATACCTAAACTCAGCCCATCCAGCAACACAAGGAACGCCCCATGTAGAAATGCCGATTCTGGATATAAACTTGTTCCGCTTGTGTTTATGAAAGAAACCCAAGATAACAAATCTCTCACAGTAAGCATTCTTCCTGTTTTTAAATTATTGAACCACTGCATGGAAGAAAAGAAACCTCAGTTTAATTTCAAACTTATCACCACCATGTGTCTTTCTTTCTATAGCACTGTTGCCTAATATTCAAGCAAACATTAGAGTGAAGCATACCTCCCAAAATTTTAACATGGGATCCACAAAGCTACAAAGCTGTGGGTTAATAATCCTGAAAATTAGGCCATAAGTTAGTATCATAACTAAACCTTCTAAGAAAAACAATAATGGAGACACAAACCTCCTAAGAGCAATAAGTTTAAGCTCATCCAAGCCACTAACAGGAGGTACCCATATCTCAGTAAATCTGTTGCGAAGGGCAGGAGATAGCTCTTTCTTTCCAAAATCACCACCAGGATTCATTGTTGCAAAAAGGCAGAAATCCGAATGGGCAGTTACCATCTCAAGATCAGAACCTCCTTTCTCAGCCAAAGACTGAAGATACATAACAAACAAAATACAAATCAAATAACAATACAAGCTGGGGAAATGCTAAAATACTTTCCAGATCACAAGCTAAAATACAAGATATACTATAGGTGATCACAGATATCAAATGGGTTCAAGAAATTTAACATCATATGGAAGTGACAATACTGTAAGGAGTAAACATCAAGGATAAAGTCGGTCAAGTACAAAGGAAAATACCAAAGAAACATATGGTGGATGTAATCAACTAATCATTCAGAAATATTAAGTCTATAAAGTGATTAAAGTATAGCAGAAGCAACATACCAGCTTCCTTTCAGGCTCCAACACACTATTTAAACGTTCAAGCACACTATCATCAGCCAAAGAAATTTCATCTACCAGAAATAGTTCTCCCCTCTTCATTGCTTCAACAAGGGGTCCATCTTTCCACCTAAAGATCGTCTGCCACTGTTGATGTAGCTTAACTAATTCAAGGTTCAATTCTTTAATATAATCATGCTCTTGCGCCGTCACATCAGGATGGGAAACCAAACCCTGATTGTAACTACTCACAATTCTAGATATTTTGTCTAGAGTCTTGGAAGCTTGATTAATATCTGAAGGAATTTTCTGGAGAAGAAAAAGAAAAGTAAGCAAAGAGCCGAAGACATTGAGAAAAGGAAGATTCTCTTCTATTACTATGAGAATATGAATGCAACATACAGAATCACCAGGAAAGTGGACAAAAGGCTTGGAACACATCAATTTTTCACATATATCTTTGAAGTCCATGGAAATCTGTGATCTTTCTCGTACAGGATAAAACCCCTGTTAAATGACAACACACAACCACCCACATGAATATCAATCTACAAAACTTTTCATGGAAACATTTAGAGCCAAAGAAGACTTGGTTAAAGTCCATGTAAAAAACAATTGAAGAAAGCAATGCAGCAGACCCCAAGAAAATCAGAAGTTTCTGTAAACTGATGACAATTCAAGATATGTAATTCGGATGCCAAGATGATACTGAGAAATTGGCAAATCGTCGTCTTTCCTCCACCAGTTTCACCAACAAGGAGGACAGGCTCACGCAGCTTGTAACAACGCTCAACAAGGAAGTACAATCTCTGCATACTTTTAGTAAGAACAATTCTGCATACACATGAAAAAATTCCCAAGTCAAAAACAGTAAATAAGAATGCAATACATTCCAGTCTAGTCTAACCATTTAGGTGCATACCCCCCAAAGTGTTCTGACAGTTTCGGATTCTTGCCAACCTCAAAATTTTCTCCATATCCTCCTTCCTGACAATAAAAAAATAAAATTACACACTATCAATCAATACAGTTACACATTGTTATCCATATCAATTCTAAGATAGAATCTCCAATTTTCTTTCCTAAATTAATCATTAGGTCATTGATAATCAGCAATCGAATACATAAAATGCTGTTCACCAAGACTAAAGAATGAGCTAAACACAACAGAATGGAATAAAAGAAACAATGGAAACAACTAAGTAAGCACTTCCAAATATCGGAAAATTAAGAAGCTTCCATCAATAAGCTGAACAGTATGCACAAAAGCAGGCAATAAGAGAAGTTGTAGCACAAGGAACTATGTTTATAAAAAAAGGGACAAAAATATTTTAAAATCACTAAAAGTTAATAGTAGCAAAAAAAAAAAAAATCCAAGCACCAAATGAATTTAGGATATGCAGATACATGTACACAACCACTAACCAAGAAAGGAGTGCATCATACCCTCTATATCGTATATTAAGATACATAATGGAGAGATCTCAAATATAATAGCAATAAAAAGCTAGGGATTAAACATTATCCAACCTGCTTGTACAAGAAATCCTCAGAGAATTTGACCTTCAGCTTCCTCTCCAAAACTTCTTGAACAACACTTCTCTCATTGTCATCCCTTAACCTCTCAGCCAGTAAATAGTAACCATCACGAGCCAAGTCCTCGTAGGTTTTCCCAAAAGCCTTGAAACGGTTAGCCCAGCGAAACAAGTCACGTGGAGTTATGAATCCATGCTTCCCTGCAAAAACTTTACTGCTCTGCCTACGCAATTGCAGCTCCTTCATGACATCAACCATTACCTTAGCATATCTTGGCGGAATTGTACACTTATTCTCCAATATAGTACTCAATTCATCTTCTGGAATTTCATCAACATGGATTTCCACAAAACGGTTGCGAAATGCTCGAGAAAGCATCTTACGACCACCATAAAATGTGGGTGGATTTTGGGTGGCAAATAGCATAAACTCAGGGTGGACACGAACAGTTTCCCTCAATTCAGGTACATATAGCTCTCTGAAGTCATCCAGCAACCTATTTAGTGCTTCAAGAACATCAGAAGGGGCAAGGTTAAGCTCATCCAAAACTATCCAGTGTCCATTACGCACAGCCTTAACAAGTGCACCTTCATGGAAAACAAGCTTCCCACTAGCATCAGTAACATACAAACCCAGATATTCCTGAAGATCAGTATGTTCATGGTTGTTAATCCGCACAAATTCATGACCAGTTACTGCTGCAAGATACTGAACAAGACTAGTTTTCCCACTAGAGGTTGGCCCTTGTAGAAGAACAGGATACCTTCCAATAAATATGGCACGAGCCAAGTTCTTTAAATGCTCTTTGACAGTCTTTGTTAGAACATAGCTGTCCAACAAATTATCACACATAGAGGCTTGAGTTAATTTATTGATCAAGTAAGAGTCAAATGGGATCTGTTGAGGTAGTTTACCTCCCAACAAATGTGAAGAAATCAAATTGTTCATTAACTTAGCACTTGTTTCATCCAACAATATCAGAAAGAACATACAAAAGCCATCATAAAGGGCTTTTTCATATCCAAAGTGCCTTTTTGCCTTCTTAATGTAATCAAGAGCACGTCTAAGAGACCTCAGACTATACTGGGGTTTCTGGTTAGCCCCATCCTGAAGACTTTCTTCAGATATTTTCTTGGCTGCTTTATAAAACAGAACTATGTTTCTAACTAGTTCTGTATTTGAATGATCCTCATCTATAAAATTATTAACAAACAAAGTTAAGTCGTCATCATCCATCACATCATCAACAAAATATTCCGAGAATCTGCTCCTGAGTGAGAATGGCAAGTCTCTCTTTCCAGCATCCGTTGCAGGATTCATACACGCAAATATGCGGAAGCTGGAACTTCTATCAATACAGTTGACATCACCCTTCTCTGTCAAACAAAGAGACCCATTCTCTTCTTCTAGTACACCAATAACACGCTGCAAGGTCTCTGGAGGAGCCAGGTTCACCTCATCAAGCAATATCCAGTCACCATTCTTCAGAGCTGTAATAAAAGCTCCTTCTACAAATGAAAATATCATTCCAGCAGAAGCACTCATTTGCGCACGGGCCTTTTCAAGTTTAATGGAAAATTGTTCCCACTCCTTCTTTACTTCCTCACCTAAAGGTCTCTTGCGTTTCATACCAGAGCCTGATCTTCCTATTCCAATAATCTCAACACCTTTCTGAAAACCAATCAGTAACTTCTTCCAATTCCTATCTTCCAAAAACTTACCTAAACGCTTAAGAAACCCTTCATTGTCCTGAAGCACAATATATTAGTGCCACAAACAGAAATCGAAAAGAAACAGAAGGAACTTTTTTTAGTGAATATACCTTTAATGAAAAGGTCTTAGTGAAAAGATTCTCAAACTCCTTGTACAGAGGGAAACATACAAACCGTGCATCAACTGGTTTGAAACCTCCTAACAAATCTGCAATATCACTTTGCTGACTCAAGTTCTGCATAAAATTTAAATTAGTCAAAAAATCAGAGGCAACTGAATATAGTCATAACTTCTCCAATTAGATAATTTTTACAGAACATACCAATACTGTGAGCTTTTTACCCAGCCTTGTTGCCAAACTTTGTACAAGAGTAGTTTTTCCTGTACCAGTTTCCCCCACCAAGAGAACAGGCTCATTATACTTAACAGAACAAGCTATTCTCTCTAGAACATGTAATGAATTGCGAATTTGAACAAAAGGTCTATCCTCATGGCAGAACTGTGGAATCAGATAAAAGATTTAACAGAGATAATAAATGTCAATAATAAAATATCACGAGTCACGACTAAAAAATATAATAAGAACTCCACTCACATTTTTCCGATAGCACTCTAAGGAAACCCGACCAACATTTAATGTTAGACACCGATTCCTCTCCTGTGAAATGATTTGAAATCTAGGCTTATTATTTGGACATAATGTCTCTACAAACCACAGTTTTGCTATCGCATCCCTAATAGCATCCCGATTCATAGAAGTGGAGAAGGCTGCAAAAACATCCAACGCCTGAAAAACAAAATGTCAAACAATGCACCAATTAGCCTACCTAGAATATCTTAATCAAAAGCAGCACAGCAGAACATGGAGGCACTTTATTTCAAACCTCTTTAAAGATAGCATCACGAGCATAACTTGAAAGTCCATCCTGGTCCCACAAAAAATCTTGGCCAGCAATTCTCTTGCACCATTTGAGGAGATCTCTGCAATTACAAGTAACTTGTGAAAATTAATAATGTCTAAAAACCTTGACCCGTTGAACATTTAAAGACTATACCTCAATGAGAACCGCTCAACTGTAATGGTTCCTAACTGAGATGCTGAAAGCGCATTGACAATTTTGAATGTTTCTGCATGATAGGACGCAAAACTGTCACAAGTGAATTCTAAGTATTTCTCCCCAGAACAACAATTGATTTCTAAAAACAAGAAAGTAATACCTATAAGTTTCGCTGCAAGAGTGTTCAATTTTGGATACCACGCATTAACAATATTCAGCAAGTCATCTTCACAAGGTGGCCCAACCATTATTCTCCTCCAAAATGCACTAACTGAATTATTGCCTAAACAAAGGAGGGGGAGTGAGAGAGGAAAAACTTAGCCAAGAAAGGAGGAATGAGCATTATTTTTCAAAAATTACACATTTTAATACACATCCAATTTAGTGCAACTAACTATGAAATGGAAACAAGATTCCAAAAAAACCATTAACAGTTTTGGTGGTAAATTTTTTGGTTAGCCATATCACTTATAACTGATCCATCAATAAAAGGACATGAAATCTATATGCACAAATACACAATAATTGAAAAGTACCAAAATATCAAATCATGAGTGGATAACAGCATACAGAGGGTACCACAAGAACATAAGTTGAAACTAAAAAGAAATAGTAATGATGGTAATGATGATTTTCCTGAAGAGACGCATAGCAGAAGACAATAATAGCCTACTATACAGAGATAACCTAGAGTTGGATAACAGTATTTTTTTTGTTACAACTAATGCCCTTTGTACAGGAAGAAAACAATGTAAACGTAACACAAATAAAGACTTGGATTACCAACCTTTTGCAGATATATCCAATTTTGAGCTTGTGACTGTAGAAAATAGCCGAAAGCCCTCATTCACACTGATCACCTGCATTGATCCATCAATCAGCAGAAAAACATATGTGCATGGAGTGATAGAATAGATCTTTTTATTATTTGAGCACACAGAAAAAGGACTCCAAATGGACATATATCATAAAATATATAAATTCTTGAACCGGGATAGGAAACTGGATGATAACTTGTTAGACAAGTACTGGTAGTGAACTGTGTATGTGTAAACTGTGTTCGTGTATTACTGTGTTCCATGTACAGAAGAGAAAGGAACTTATATACAAGCTAAGGAAGGAACTAAGCCACTTATTTCAAATTTCAAACCCAACACTCTACAATCACCAGGGCAATATGTAGGGAAAAACAAGGAACAGAAAACAAAGACAATAAATGAAAGCAAGGCTCAAGGAACAAAAGTTTGCTCCTAGGAACACTAAAAGACAGATTGAAAAACACAACAATTATTCTCAAATGTCAACAGATATATAAGAAAACTAACTTCCTAATTGGGTCATCTAGAATGTGATTGACAACATGTTGATTTGATAGATCACAGTGTTATCCACTATGTAGAATTTGATATCCAATGAAACCTAATTTATCATTAAATAGGAGTATAAAACAAGAGAATTGTTGACCATCTTCTTCCACACAATTATTTGTTATTTTATTGATAGATACTTTATTAATTTGGGAATGGCATTGAAGGAGAAAAGATATGACATATCAAGTTGTAAAATAATCAAATCATGTGTGAAGAATAAATATGATCAGATATTAGCAATACAGATGGAACGAGAGAGCGTATACTCAACATTTAGAAATTAAAGAGTATACCTCCCCATGGCCAGTGGAGAATGAATTTGACCCCTCTAATAGAGGTAATAAGATAGATCGAACATCAGGTGGTGCTTTATCCACATCCTCAATGACAACCCAGAGTCCATTTGAAACAGCCTGTATAGGAAAGCATACATATTTCATGACAAGGTTAGAAAGCTTAGCATTCACACATATTTTAATATTTAATAATACATAAGAAACAAACCTGAGTAAGCGAACCAGGTTGCCATCTAAATTCACCGGGTTGATCAGCACAAACATAACTCCCAACTAATGTCCTGCCATCAATTTGCTCATCCATGTGTATAGACAGAACTTTTTATGAGACCAGCCACAGCATACCCCAAATATAAACAATAAATAAAGCAGAAGACATTAGTTTATTGAAGTGGAAAAAAGTAGAAACCAAGGCACATGCAGACAAAAAATTTGGAAGGCCATGTGCAACGAGAATACACTTCACATAAGGTAAAAATTAATAAAGTTGTCAAAGGCAGTCACAAACAAAAATGTTGGCAACGGCATAAATTATTGTATTGCACCCAAAAAAAATAAAAAGAAAAACACACAAGCAATTGAATGTGATGCAGAAACTATTTCACTTATTTCTCCAGCAACTTGTTCTGGTAAAAAGGATTTTGTCAATTTCATCAAGTAAATCATCACACAGCTAAGAATCAAGAGTCAAGCTTTACTAACTACATCCTTCCAAGTGCTGTTATTATCTAGTACAAGATAATTATATTGTTGCAAAAGAAAACTATAATGCAAAAAATATCCATAGGGAACAAGCATCTCAGCAGTACAAAAGGATGATAGAAAATTACCTTGGCTCCCATATTCCTGTGCCAACCTTGCAACAAGTGCAGTTTTTCCCGCACCAGCAGGACCATACAAAAGAACAGGCCACCTCTGACTCACAGCCAAGAAGACCATCTCATAACTCTTCTTCACAGCAGATGTCATGGTAAAGGGCTTTCCATTGCACCTGCATATCCAGAAGGGCAAGAATAATTGCCAAATGTGCATTATTCACAAAGCAAGGGAAGCGGAAAAACCCCAGTAATATGCCTACTATTATAGTCACATCCCGAAATTTGCATACCTCGTGCTCTCTGTTGATTGCAAAGATGTATGCATTGCAGCAGAGGGTGAATTTAGAGAAATAAAAGTTGAGGGGACAGAGTAACCTTGATCAAACCCAATGAGTTTGCCACTAGACTCCCCATCTTTTCCCTTTGAACATTCAATATACCATCCAGCTTTCTCTAGTGAAACATCCTGACAAAATTCTTGCCACCTTCAGACAGAAAAAACAATTTAAAGACAAGGAAATAGGTGAGGAGGAAGAAAATTTAAACATTCAGAAGAAGACTCTATGATGAATATTATCAGTCTTTCAACCACAAACTAATTCATGATTTGAGCATCAATTCATTCAAATGGGATGAATAAACGTAACTTAGCCAGATGATACCAATTATATTCAATCTAGGATGCTCCAGATATTTAATACTTCATCCATAGGAATTCGGCTACCATTGTGTTTTATGTATAATATATCTTTCTAATATAAAGGAGTTCAATTAACTTTGTGTTTGTATTGCATCCACAAATAAGCTTCTTTCTTTAAACAATATCATGTTTGTTAAGGTCTATTACGCATAAAACTGAATAAAATGATCAATTACCCACCGCAATAAACAAGAAAAATCTTCTTCAGAACTCGGACTTGTATTTGTACTTAAATTCAGAACCAACGATAATATTTGCTTCCTATACCATCCTATGTCAGAGATATTACTCTTCAACTCTGCATCAGTATACTTCTTTACAAGGTTCAGAAAGCAGGACCAATTCCATAGTGTGGTAAACTCACACGCTGCCAGAAGGAAACGGTAGGAGACTCTTACTATGTCTAAAAGACGAGTTCCTTCCTAAAAGAAAATAGGAGTCAGTCCAGAACTACAAAGAAAACAAACCAAAAATATACATAAAATGTATCTTGCTTTGAAGATAAATTTAGAAATAAAAATACTGTTTAAAAGAAAATTGCATTTGTAAATTTCAGCCTTTACTAATTATTTCATTTTATTGATGTAATTTTGACCTTTAGGAAATATTATCATCCAATTAATCAGAATAACTTATGTAGAAATTAAAAAGTAAAAGAAAATGATTTGCTAGACTGCTACTATATAGTCATTCACATGCATAAACAGCACAGGTAAAGTCAACTAAAAACCATCAATAATTGATATAAAATGATTTCCTCAACTCCTACTATATAATCCTTGGTGTTGGCTAATTCTAATAATTGCTTGACCTTTTAAATATGGAAATATTAATCATATATGGTTATTTTTGTAGACTGTTCATTTATTTCTTTTTTTCTTTACTTTCTTTTTGGACAAGTAATTCATTGACAAAAATGGCACCACGAAGGAGTGTGCAAGATTTGCAGAAAGTAATTCATTTCTTGAAGGATGATTAAATATGTTATGATCATTGCAAAAAAAAAAAAAAAAAAAAAAACCAATAGCATTTTGACTAGAGACAAAACAATTCTTGAGATTTATAAAATGCATTTAGCATATTACAATATTACATATATAGAAAGCATAGTACCACACAGGTCATAATAGTGAAAGTAATGCCTAAAATTACTCTTAACAAAAATATAAAAAGAGAAGGAACTGAGTTTGAGCTTGTAATTTTTTTTTAGCAGAGAATTCGGGGAAGTAAAATCCAATACTTGAGCATAAAGTGAAAGTTGAATAACAAAGATACCATAGAAACTTCATCAACATATGATCCTCTCTGAATGATCCTTTCAAAAGGAGGTGGAGCAAAATTAAAATAACTTAAAATTGACCTACAACATGAAACAGGGATATCAGTATGTTTCCCATCTTACCCAGAAGTTGCTAAGCATACAACAAAGAGTAAACAATACTTCAAAAGGAGTGTGGCTGTCTGTGTGTGAGGAAGAGAGAAAACAAGTATAACTTACTCCTTCAAACAAGGAACCAAATCAAGAGCTCTACAAAATGCCAAACATGCGAGCTCATGAAGACTCAAACCCTTCCCGTTTCTTACATAAACATCAACAACATGTGTAACATCTGCATGATCATGCGATTCAGCCTCTCTAAGGAATCGGTCTTCATCAAAGTCTGTCATCAAGTCATCATTATTCGCCCTCAATTCGGGCACTAAACGAAGCAGCTCCACACTCCTGTCCACAATTTTACGTGCAATTGGACGAAAACATCCCACCAATGGCACTGTATAACTTGGGTGCAGAATCAATTGTCCCAGGGCATTTACAACTTCTTCTTCACTAACCTTATCACCCTATAAATCAAATAAACTCAATACTATATCATCTGCGATCGCAAACACTTAATGTAAAATCCACTCATAAATAAAATTTGAACAGAGAAGAGAGACGACAAGGCTTGGTACCTTTTTTAGTAGATAAACGAATTGCGGGAGATTAGCAAGCTTGGGGCACCGACTAACGAACCTCTCCAACTCAAATTCCAGACGAAAGCTGCCGTCCAACGACATCCCTGGCCGATTCTGCTACGGTTGTCCGGTTGTCGTCTGTGTTTTAGTTCTTCTCCTAGGGTTTAAGAGCGTGCGTTCAGGGTTTTAGTTTGTTTAAATGCATATTTATAGTGTCCTGACTCCTCAACCCTTGCCGCTACTTTTTATTTTCCTTTTTTTAATGTTTCCTATGGATCAACTGATCGGTCCTTGCGGAGTCGGGGGCGGTCAAGGGTCCCTTTTTCTTTTTTTTTTGAAAGGAAACAGAATTCTATTAAATCAAAGTTGAAATAAAATCAGTAACGTTATGCTGTGAGCACGTGCTCACCTTGCAAGGTGAACACGGTTTCATATTCATAATTTTTATATTGTAAATTCATAATTTTTATACTGTAGATCCATAATTTATATATTGTAAATTCATCATTTTTCGGATTTTTTGTGTTTAGTAACACTTGAAAAATCCAATTAACGGAAAACATTTTCTGTTGACGGGGAAAAATGTGTCCATTCTCTGCCATTGTTGTTTCTTTTTTTTTTGTAAGGTTTCTAGCGGAAACTAGTTCTGCGGAAACCAACCATAGCTATGGTTTCTAGCGGATACCCGAACCTTTTTTTTTTTGGTTTCAAATATATAAAATGTATTTTTATATTCTAAATAAAAAAATTAAAATATTTAATTATACAATTCTACTCATTTTCCAGAAAATGAACCAAACACACAAAAATAGTTTTCCAAATACATCCAAACACTGGAAAAGGAAAATGTTTTTTTGAAAATTGACTCATTTTCCAGAAGTCATTCTCCTGTTTTCTAAACGGATCCTTAAATTCATAATTTATAAATCGTAGATTCATAATTAAAATATAGTAGATTCATAATTTTTATAAAGTAGATTCATAATTTATATATTGCAAATTCATAATATCTGTACTGTAGATTCATAATTTCTATACTGTAAATTCATAATTTTTAAATTGTATAGTTATCAAATTATGAACATATAATTTTCTGATTTGTGAAAACAGAGTTCAACAATTGAAATCTAAAGCACAAATTTTATAAATTTACAATATAGAAATTATGAATAAGAAACTGTACCCACCTTGCAAGGCGAGAACATGCTCACAGCATAATTTGCCTCCATTATGCATGCACATTAATTTAATGGGCCTATTGGGCTATATACCGGTGGAATCTCCTAAACTCTAATGGGCTGAAAATACCAATTTTACCCCAAAAGTTTTTTTTTTTTTGAAACCAAAAGTTGAGGCAAATTTTACTGTCAATAGTTATGTTGTGCAACCGAATGTACCATGCGCATGGTGCATATGATGCAAAACGATGTCGTTTTGACTAAAAACGCGCGTCCCATTTTTAAAAAAAAAATCAGGTTCGATTCTCGGCAATAGCATTATTGTATGATACTGCTAATTCTACGTAAGCAATAATTAAATAAACCCGAGACCAATTAAAGCAAGTAAATATCTTTATTGATCACGGTAAAGGCCCTAAGTACAATCTACTTGGTTGCTCTGAGTGCCGACTGACTGCGGTCGGGATTCTCTAACAACAACCTATCGATCGTCCAAAAGTCCACTACACTGTAGCTACTGTGGGTATTTATAGCCGCTGCGCCGGAGACACAAATCCGGTCGCTCGGCATGCTCTCCACGTAGCCTCCACGTGTCATCCTCCCGGGTGCCCTGTCTGTCGTCGTAAAGAGCTGCCACGTGTCCTTCGTCAGCTCTCTCACCAAAGGGCTGCCGCTCGGTGGTCGACACTGCCGCTCGGGCAACTCCCGGTCGGACCCCGACCGAGTTCTTCACGTGAAGCCCGACCTGTTACCTGCAAAGACAAAGAGGAAAGGACGAAGGCACCTCGGTCGGGGTAAAGCTATGTCGGTCGGGGTATTCCCTACCAAGAGCCCCCCAGCCCGGGCCTTTTTGATCGTCCGGGAAAAAACGGGACGGGATGAAGAAGCCCAACCGTCGGCCATCAAACCGACCAGCCAGCTGTCATTCTTCCCCTCGCCACATGTCGGCCACTGCCGGCCTCTGCGACTGCAACGGTCGCCTCGGAATCAGCGCGGGTCGTGTCACGCAAGTGGACTCGTTTCCCGCCTAAATGCTCTCCTATAAATAGGCCATTGAGGCCTTCATTTGAACTTTCCTCAATCCATTGAAGCGATCGGTACCCTCAGAGAGTCCCGAGCAGCAGTTCAGCGAACCAGTCGAGCAAACCAGGCTTCAAACTTTTCCCAAAGTACCTCCAATCGGTAAGCTCTCTACTCCTTATCTTTTGCTTTATTTTTAGCTTTGCGTAGGAGTAAGGTAGAACTAACTCCGATCTAACTTCCCGAACCCTGCACTAACCCCGACCGACCTTTAGGTAGAAAAACATGTCGGATTCGGATAGCCAGAACATCTCGGTCGCAGACTACGACCACGGATTTGAGTAGATCAGCGAAGAGGAGATAGAGATTATGTCCTATTCGCCTAAGGTCGTTCAATGACCGGGGAAGGCCCCCGAGCGAGCCCCCGTGCAGCAGGAATCCTCGAGCACAAGCGACTCTTCAGGATCGGGCTCGAGCGGTTCGGGGAGCTCGGGCCGTGACAGTGAGGAGACCTCCACAAGCGGACGAGTTCTCCGGTCCGAGGGCATTAGGGAAACGCCCACCCGGGTGATAGGGGATCACCCGGAAACCACTCCTCAAGAAGACGACCTACCGGGCAGAAGCGAGCCGGTCGAGGAAGAGATAACCGAACCAGCGACCGGTAAGGACGACAGGTTCGAGTATCTGAACAGCGAGAGCGTCGCCCAGCAAATGAGCGAGCTGACTCATGGGGAGGCCGCGCGGATCGCGGAAAGATTAAGTGGTCGAGTGGAATTCGACACAAGTCGGCGGCTCGGGAACGTTATCGAGCGTCACCGGGGCAAGTGGATCGGGATGCACTACGACTCCCTACTGGCCCCGGTCGTCTTCCCGTTCCCCGCCATTTTGACCGCTTTCCTGGGCTACTACCAGGTCATGCCAGCCCAAATCTGCCCGAACTCACATCGCATCATAGCATGCTTTCCCCAGATTTGTGCTCGGCACAAGGTAACCTGCACGATGGAGCTTTTCAACTACATCTATCAGGTGAAGATCCTCTCGGGCAACTACGGCGGTGGATTCTTGATGGTGCAATCCCAAGAGGGAAGGTGCTCGATCGCAGGCCTGCCCGGGAATAACAAAGGGTGGAAAAGGAGGATCTTCTCGGTCAAATATGACCCCTGGATCCTCCCGATCGACAGAGTTTGGAGCACCCACTTTAGGAAACAAGTTACGCTGGTCGAGACCCCGGCTCTTCGGGAGGCTGTCGTCCGGATCTCAAGTGAGATCCACGAATACAAGATCTTCCGGTCGGCAGAGAGCCTTGAGGCCGCCCAGTTACCAGACCCGGTATATGATCTGAAAGAGAAGTACAAGCCCGTACCGATGGGCGTGGTGGTGGCAGGTCCTCCTGCTCGGGGTAAATGGAAGAAGACAGGTCTAACCCTAACTAACTCTCCCGCTCTTAACTTCCCAAACAGCGAACTTATTCCCGAGCTAACGAAGTTGTTCCTTTTGCAGATATGGCGCCGAAACGCTTCAACAGCGCAGCTCCAAAATCTCCTTCCCGAACGAAAATAACTCTGGGGAAGAAGAAGACGACCGCTGGGTCTTCGGGAGGGGACTCCATCCCGGTTGCCCGACCCTTAGGCCCCGCCCCGGTCATCACCGACGAGGGTGGGGTCCTGGATACCTCGGACACATTGGTCACCCGAGTGACCAGCAAGTCGAAGGGGCAGGCGGTGGAGAGAGCGGTCGAGGAAGCGGCCGGGAGCAAGAGGCAGAGAACGAAGAAGAGCCCGGCCCCGGCGGTCGGGTCTGTCATGGCTGATGCCTCCATACTATCTCGGATCGGCAATTTGACGTCGGTCGAGATAGACCTGACCAAGCTAAGCCCGACCCAACTGGCTGAACGGCTCGGTCGTGAGCTGGTCGAGGTAAGAACTCTTCTTTCTTTCACTTTTGTATGATGGACCCTCAATCGGGCTAACATGCTTAACTCTGCAGGCATCACGAGTCGGGGCGGCACTTCACGGCCAGGCGCTGTTGGCCACTGAGGCCATAAGGCTTAAAAAGGTCGCCGACCGGCGATTTAAGGAGCTGGAGGAGATGTCTGCCGAGCTAAAAAAGGCCGAGGAGGCGCTGAAGAAGGCTCGGACCGACCGGAGCGCCTTGTCGAAGGCGTTGCAGAAGGAGAATGAGGCTCGGGAAGAGGCGGTCAAGAGGAGCACAGACCCGGCCGCAGCGATCGACTATTTCTTCCGGGAGGTCGAGCCCGGCATGGCCTTCGTTCGGCAAATGCGGAAAAACGCAGTTGCAGACGAGCTCTTCTGGTCCTTCGGCCATTGGGCCTATAACAGCGGTCAAAGAGAGATGATGGAAAGGACGGAGGCAAACATTAGGGAGGCACTTGAGGGCGAAGACCTCGAGCTAGTCTTGACCACCCTCCCGACTAAAGTCTCCGACCCCGGGCTGGACCCATACGACCCCGAGATTGAGGTCGTCGGCCCGAGCGAGGCTGCCGCTGAGAAGCCTGCCGACCCGGCCGATGCCGAAGCCGTGAAGAAATGAAGCCTGCTGCTTTGTTTTCTCCTTTTGTAAGCATTGAATCGGGAGCCCGGTCCCGAGTTGTACCGGGCACTTCTTCTCGATTAATGAAACTTCTGTTTTTTGTTTAACCTGTGTTGCTCGTTTTCTCGCTTTAAATTTTTGCTTTCAACGTGCATGCACTGATCCTAGATGCTCGACCTCATGGCCTTTTGGCCCGGTCGTGCACTACTCAACTTGTTTGATACCCGACCTTGTGGCCTTATGGCCCAGTCGCGAATCCGAGATTCCGGCGTCATACTGGCTAACCCGAGCGGGTTTACCCGATCTCCAGGCCTTAACGAAATTTTGAAAATAGGTAAGCCTCCACGGTCGGGATTTTCCCGAACGACGGGCCTGTAGGTAGGTACTTCCTTCATCCCAGCTCCCACACTATTGTGCCTTTGAACTCTTGACTTGCTTCTGATATTCGGTCATACGCCGAGCGGCTAGCTCTCT